AGTCCTGTCGAGCAGGCACCCAGTCCCAGCTCCGGCAGCAGGCAGCCCCGGAGGGAGACCCGGCCCCAGCTCACCTGCCGCAGCCTGGCGGGCCTTGGCCGAGGGCCGGACCAGGCGGATCGTGTTGCTGGAGAGTCGCTCGTCCCGGCGGGGCCGTCCGTGCGGGTCCGCCACGCTCCGGTAGAGGTTCCGCATGTAGCGCAGCGGCTGCCCGCTGACTCGCCTCCGGCTCCGACCGGGGAGCCAGGCTCGGGGGGGCGCCTGGCCCAGGAGCCTTTGCATCAGCGGCAGGGAAGGGGTCCCGGGGGCGGCGGGGGCAGCGGGCGCCTCTGAGCCTCGCGCTTCCCTCCCGCCTTCCAAAGGCAGCGCCAGGGGGAGGAGCAGCGCCAGCAGGAGAGAAGCGCTGCACGGCTCCAGCCCCGCCATGGCGGCCTCCGGCTGCGCTGAGGCGCGGGGTCACAAGGCAGGAGCCGGGCAGCCCGACGGGAGCATCGTCTCGGGGTGGTGGTGCAGAGAAGGCAGGGAGGCGGGCGAGCCCCGCAGTCCCAGGCGAGGCCCCCGAGCAGCCGCAGCCAGGCCAGCGGGGTGGGGGTGGGGAGCCGGAGCGGCTGCGCCGGGCTAAACAGCAGCGCGCCGCCGCCGCCGCCGGCTCCGTTTAAAGGCGAGCCTCGCTCCACCTTAAAGGGCCGGAAGCGCCTGCTTGCAGGCTGCGGGGTGCCAGGTGGGCCGGGCGCTCAGGCCCCTCCTTGCCCCGCAGGGTCTCCCTCGCTTTGCTCGACGGCGTTCTGGCCCCGGAAGCCGCTAGCGCAGCCGCCCGACCTGAGAGGAAAGTCTTTGGCAAGGCGGCGCTCGTGGGGCAGCACCTTACTCTCGCCCCAGGCCCGGAGCAGGAATGGGAAGTCGCGCTCAGCTGCCCACCGGGAACTCTGGGATTTGGAGTCCAGGCACATCTGGAAAGCACCCAGTTACTCGAGCTCCCCCTTGTGGCGGATATTTGTGATGACCTCCGATCAGCCCAAAGCGATGCCTTGGCGGTTCTTGACCCACAACCAGAAGGGGCTTCCTTTGCTGGCGCTTCAACCGGCAGGAAGGAAGATGGCCTGGGCTTGCATGCTGCATGCAGTGGGGTGGATTCCACTGAACAGGCCCGGCTGCCTGGAATCTCTGCCCTTCTTACCCTTCTGTCCCTCTGCCAGGCTCCTAATTATCTTGGCTGTTGGAAACACAGGAAAACATCTTTGGTGCTAGCCCGCCTCTTCCTCTCCATCCTTTCCCGCCTTCTGCAACTTCAGCTAAGTACACTTTGATCCCCAAAACACAATGCCAAAAAAATCCAGCCTTTATCATTTTGTGCAAAGTATTTTTACTGGCTTGGTGAACGAGGCACTTTTGTGTGTATATAAACCTGAGTGAAGTGGTGCCCTTCTATGACTTGTTTTCAGCATTGGCTTCTACAGGGTGATTTAAAACTATCCTGTACAAACCACTGACAATGATCATTCATTATTTATGTAGGCCTTTATACCCTTCAAAGGTATAAAGTCAAAGTTGTAAACAAAATAAAAAATCCTAGCCAAATGCATTGAACAGTGAACACAAAAGCAGGCGGAATAAACCCCGGGGGTGGGGTGGGGATCAGACTCACAGGGGTAAAAGCATCGGAAGAAGGGGCCGAAGAACGGTCTCGGGGCCTTTGGGGGCTGCCCTCTCTCCTCTCTTTTGGCCTGGCAAGGCAGACTGGAGCCTCCCTCCCCAGCTGCACTGGCACAGCCCTTCCCGCCCACTTCCACCCCTGGCACCAGGGTTGCATTCCCGGGCAGGGAGTGTCTTTCTGCCTTTGGGCTGAACCCAAAATCCGAGAGGGGAGCAGGCTGAGCTAGCAACTAGAGAGCCTCCGTTCCCGACTGGGGCAGCGATCTAGGTCCAGAGCTTGGGCATCTGCCTTCCACAGCAGCCCAGAACTGGCTCCCCTCTTTCTCCAGGCGCCTCTCCTTCCACCCGAGGCTGCCGGAAGCTGATTCCCCCGAAGCCCCCAAGGGGTCTGGGCAGGACTGCTGCTGCTTCTGGGGCACCGGCTTTGTTTCCACGGAGGAAACTTGCTCTGCACCCAAAGAGGTCAGGCGGTTGGGTCCATCCAGGATTCACCTTGGGAGCCTCTGAACAGCCCTGGGCCAAAGCAGGGGGGACAGGTGAGCAAGGGCTGCCCAGAGAAAGGATTCATGGGCAAAGAGCAGCGGGAGCAGAGGCAGCCCACCAGGCTAGGGCAGCCCAGGGGATTCGGCAGCCAGAAGCAGCCCATTAGTCCTGCTGGGGCAGCAGAAAGGGATTTCCTCCCCACCACTGAATCTCTGGACGCCGGAGGGACTCCAAAGCCCAGAGTTCTGGACTTCCCAGTCATTTTGCAAACTTCCTGTTTTGAACATAAAGCACGTCCTTGCCAACTTGCCAACGGGTTCTGCCAGGAGGGGGGATTTTTGGTGCTCAGCCAAGCTCCTTCCCGGCACAAACAACAGTCCAAAAACTTGCTCTCAAGTCGGCATCTAATCCTCTTATGTACATAAAGACAAACCTTATGCCTCTTATATAGGCAGGAAGCCAACTATGTGCCTGAAAAACAGAGGTCCACAGAGGGTTCTCCATAGATCAGCCGAGAAACACTCAGTCGCTGCAGCCCACAAAGTCTTTGGGACCCCTAAAGATCCACTCAGATTGATCACAGCAGAACTTGGTGAAATGACTGGTTTTGGCAAATTTCTCCTCCCTCAGTCTCCTGGGTTTTGACCAGAGCCATCAGGCTGACCTTCCTCCCCAGGCCATCCCATGGCCAGGGTGAGCTCTCCAAGAGAGCAGCCAGCCTGAAGAAGGGTTCTCACCAGGACAATCCTAGAGCTCCCTTGAAAGCAGGCTGGAAAGAGCGGAGTGTGGGCTCTGGTCACATGAGCCAAAGCAAGCCGTGTTATGGCCCAAAATGGTGGCCTGGCTCTCTCTGCACATTTCTCTGCCTGCTGCCTTGCACCCCCAGCTGAGGAATTCTCCCCCACCCCCACCCCCCAACATTCCGGATAAAGGGCTGTCTCACCCTTGGGAAGAGGAGCCAAAGCAGCCTGCAGGAGAAGGAGGTGGCAGTGTTAGGCCTGGCCGCTTCCTTGGCCTTGAAGAAAGCCAGTGAGGAGCTCCCTCAGCACAGGGAGGCAGTGAGAAGGGGGCTGAGGTCGGCTTGCAGAGCCCTCCCCCCAGCAATTGGTCCCCTGCTCACTTGGCTTGGCCACCCCCACAAACAAACAGGCAGGCATTCAGGTATACTTCAGATTAACCTCAGAGGGCAACGAAGGACGAATATGCCCCCAGAGACTTTGCAAAGAGCGGCTGTCCCCAATTAATGGCCAAGACCCTTTTGCGGAGGGAGGTGTGGGATAAAGATCAGCCTCTCCCCATTCTAGGAAGGGCTGGAAGGAGCGCTGTGGGTCTAAGCACAGTCTTGCAAGAGGAGGATTAACCCTTCCCCATTCAGGCTCTGGGAAACCAGGAATTCTTCACTGGAGCTTGGCGGGGGCTACCCCGCTTCTTCATCCAGAACATTGGGGTACTATAGGCTGAAATATCACAGTGCCAACAATGGGGCAGCCTCCAGCCCTTGCACCAATGTTTCTGTCTCTCGCACACCCCTCCCCTGCATAATCCCCTTCTGATCTAATACCTCTTGTGGCAGGGAGTTCCATGTAATGCCTGAGGCTCCTGAAAACTATAGCATCCCCCCCCCTTTTTTTCCTGCTACTCCTGGGCAACCCTTCAAGCGCACAGGTTGGGGTTGTACACGCATGTATGCAGAGTGGGATTCAGCAGGTTCTGACTGGTTCTGGAGAACCAGTAGCAGAAATTTTGAGTAGTTCAGAGAATTGGCAAATACCACCTCTGACTGGAGATCTCACAGTCTCCTTCTCCTGCCACGCCCACCAAGTCACGCCCACAGAACCGGTAGCAAAAAAAATTGAATCCCACCACTGCATGTATGTGACAAAAGGCACCTGATGCTTGTAAGAAGCAACTCCAGGACGGAGGGATGAAGCCAGTCTGGGCACTGGCCAAGGCCCCACGAGAGTGGCGGTTGCTTCTGCCTTGTGGCTCCAAAGGGCTGCCCAGTATTCTCCCCTCCCCCACACACACACACAGTCCCCACCCCTCTTGCGCTGAAGGGGATGTGGAGACTTTGACAGCATATTTTCTCCTCCTCCACGCAAATCTGGAGACATTCCCTGCTCGCCAATGCCCAGGACTGTGGCGTTCTCAGAGCCAAAGGTGGCACCTACTCTGGAGCAGTTGGGGAACAAAGGAGCATTCTGGGGGTGCCTGAATGTAACTCCTTCTGCTGAAAGTTGGCAGCGCTGCCCCCGAGGGGCAGGCAGGGTGGCAAAACCAGTTTTCAGCGCTCAGCACCAACCCAGGAAGCTCTAAGCTACCAGCAAACCAAGCAATCTACTTGGCACCAGGGCTATCCTTGGAGGTAGGTGCACTGGAAGCGGGCAGAGTGCTTTTCAGCCTGGATCCGGAGGGCCAACTTGCTCTCTCGGCCTCGAGGCGCCTGAAAAAGCCCTACTAGGCACGAGAGAGGGCAGAGGGGATCAGCCCGGCTGGCCCAGCTTCATCCCAAGCCTGCTCTTCCACTCCCGTCCTCCATATCTTCGGCGTGCAGGGAGGCGAGGATGTGCTCGCCCGGAGCTCGTTTAAACCGGGCCGGCTTAACTTGCTCGCCCGCGGCAGCGGCCGGAACGGGCTCGGCCCCCGCCCAGCACAGGAGTCCGCGCGCCAAAACAGCCCAGCAAAGGAGGCGGAGCGGTTCCGCTGCTGGGGGCGCGCCTCGGCCGGGGCGTTGCAGGATCCGGGCCGGCCGGGAGCCTCCACTCGCCCGCGACACGCCCACCGGGGGCGCCTGCCGGTCCGCCCTCCAGCAGGCAGAGCTTAGCGTCGCGCCGCGTCCCGTCGATGCCGAGCACCGCCGCGGGTCAGGCCCGGCACAGGGAATGGTGCCATGGAGCGGCCGTCGGGACAACTGCAGCCCGAGCCGTCCCCGCAGGCCCAGCTGGCGAGCCGCCTGCTGGTCTCCTTCCAGTACCTGCACGTGCAGCTGGCTGGCGGCGCGCCCTGGGGCTTCACCCTGAGGGGCGGGCTGGAGCACGGCGAGCCGCTCATCGTCTCCAAGGTGAGTCTGCGGCGCAGGATCCCCGGACAGCGCGGGCCAAGCCCTCCGTGCGGCTCCCTGCGCTGCGGGGTCCGGCGCGAGCCGCAGCTCTTTGTCTGCCTGCCTCGAGTCCGCCTTCCCGCCCAGGAGCCTCTCCCCCTCGCTGCCTGGGCGTTGCTCGCCCTCCCCCGGCGGCCCGCCTCGTGTCCTCCCCGCCCGGCTGGCCTGGAGCGCAGCGAGCGGCGGCGGGCCCCGGCTGGGCAGCGCTTCTGGGCCGCAGCAACGCTCCGAGACCTTCCCCCTCCCCGCCGTGAGAACTCCCCTCCCCCCGGGACTGGCAAGTTGCTGAAGGGGCCACTGGGGACGAACTGCCCCGCTTCGACCTCGGATCGCCAGTGGCGGAGTCCGGTCCGGCGTCTCTCCCGAGCGGAGGGATGCCCGGGCCGCCTCCCTGAAGGACGGCGGGGGGAGGGGGGGGCTCGGCTGGGCGCAGAGAAAAGCCGGCCGCTAGCCGAGGGCTCGCAGGGCTCGCGCGTCTCAGCCCCACCTGAGGGCGGAGTGGCCGCGGCCCCCCGGGCGCCCGCCAATCGGGGGAAAGCAGCCCCGCCCCCAGCGGGAATTCCCCGAGGAGGTTTGGGGGGGAGGGTTTCCCCAAGGAAAGGGAGCCAGCCGCATGCCAGGTCTCTCCCGGAGGGTGCCTCAAAGCCGGTGCTCAGCAGTAACAGCCCCGGGGCAGCGAATGAATGATTAACTGCCCTTGTGTGCCAGCAGGGCTGGAGCTCCTGACGGGCAACTGGGTGGCTCCCCTGGGCTGGGAGGCTCTGGGGAAGAAGCAGCTTTCAGGGAGGGGGGAGGGGGCTCTGCCAGGTTCCCTTTCGCCACCGCACAAAAATGCCTCACCTGTCAGGTGTCTCTCCTGAGCCCCCCGGCTGCCCCCAGCCCTCCTTTCCAGAGGAGATCCTGCTGGGGCCCTCAGCAAGGGGGGGGGGGCAGGCCAAGAACTTTTCTGCCTGGGGAGCAGCACCCCAGGAGTCCCTGCAGCCTGCTTCCTCTCCACGCTCTCTCTCTGTCCCTGCGCCCACCTCCTGCAGCTGCTGGCCTCCACTGGTGCCTACGCTCTGCACTGGCGTGTTCATGGTCGCTCCTCTGCCATGCCTGGGCCACAACGCAGCACCCTGTTCCACCGTGGGGATCTTTGCCTCACTTGGGTGCTCGCTCTTTGCCCTCGTCAAGAGGCCCAAAGGCTTTTGCAGGTACCCAGCCCCAGAGGGCTGACCCGTCTGGAGTTTGGGGGAGCCGGGACTCGCTGCCCCCCTGCCCCCTCCCCCCGCCGGGGGGGGGGGGCAAAGTATGCTCCCACCAGGTCTGGTTCCAGACCAGGGAGTAGGGAGCCTTTCTGCTGCCTGGCAAAATGGTGAGCAGGAACAAGGATTGCTTTGTGCAATAATCAGCAGCAAACTCCCTTCTCCCTGCGCACTCAGGGCTGGCTTTGCTTCTCTCCGCTTCCTTCGGGAGAGCTGCCTTGCTAGGGCTTCCAAAACCCCAAGCTCTGTGGGGCCTGCCTCCCACGGTTCCCTGAAGGAGGGCCCTGTCTTCTCTCCTCCTCCTCCTCCTCCTGGCACTCAGGAGGGACCAGCCGCCCGCCCACGCATGCACTAGAGGCTAAGCTGTGTCCTCCCCCCAAGAAGGAGCCCTCGGGCTGAGCTGAAGGCAGAAGAAGCCAGGCTGGGTGCTGGGAGTCCCTGCAGTCTCCGTTGGACTACAGGGCCATGTTGGGGGAGCCAAGAGCTGCAGCTTCCAAGCATCTGGGGATCAAAAACAGCCTTTCCTCCCCCTGTCCGAGGGGCTCCAGGCCAGAGGTCTCCTCCGCTGTGGGAGGGGCCTGGGTCCCTCTCTTAGAGAGCCTGAAGCAAGCGGGGAAGCGGGGCAGAGGCAACGGTGTCCTTCAGGTCCGGGCCAGGAAGCCTCTCCAGCTGAGCTCCCTGACCGCTGGCCTTTGCCACGGTGCCCCGGAGGGAGAGGACGGGCGCTGGCCTCGGGGGCTTCTGGGTCGAGTTGACTTCACTGAGGCAGAAGAAACTCGTCTCTGCTGGGGCTGCGAGAGGGGAAGGGAGGGGTGCCGAGGTCGGCGCTCCCCCCCTGAGGATCCCCACGTCCCCTCTTGAGGCTGCCCTGCAGAGGCGGGCAAGATGTTCTCTGTTTGGGCAGAGAAGCTAAAAGTTATTCTGGACTCCGGGAGAAGGTCAGGGCACAGGTCTCTGCTGGAATTGCAACCGTCGCCGGGCTTCGGGGTGAGAACGGAAGAGAAGCCTCCCCGCCTGGGACTCTCATCAGCGCAGCCCACAAGCTGGTCTCCACGCTTTGGTTTTGGAAGAACAAAGCAGCTTCCCAACTGGGGAGTCCCAGGCCTCCAGGCAGTGGGAGCGATGGTGGGTGTCTGACCCTCTTGAAACCAGGGAGCCCGGGGCCCGGCCCCTCCCTCTGACGAAGCAGGTGGGAGTCTCAGGGCTGCCCCCCAGGCCGAAGGCTGCAGCATGGGGCCCCTTGGAGGCCCCTTCCCGTGGCCCATCTCTGAGACCGGCCAGCCACGGTGCCTGAAGCTGGCACCGGGCCTCTGCATGGAGCTGAACCAGGTCTTCCCGCTGGAGAAGGTTAACTCGGCCTCCTCTCGGCCGCTGGGTGTGGCTCTTCTCCAGCCATGTGCCCAGGTCTCGTGGGCGCTCCGTGTCCTCATCACCACTGGCCCTGGTTCAGACCATGTGACCAGCAGGGAAGGGCTGCCCACCCTTCCTCCTCGGCTTGGGCCTCAGCCCTACTTTGGTCTGAGGGCACCGGCTGGCGCCAGCAGGGCCCTTCTTTGCGGGGGCTGATCCTGCAGGCAGTCCTTGAGGGGATCTGCTGCCTCCGTGGTGGGTCTCCTTTGCTTCTCCCCTGCAAGCAATCCCCACGTCAGCTGGACAGTGAGAGCTGATTCAAATCATTTACTGTTTCTTCTATGTCTTTGCTGTGAGCTGCCCAGATGGACATACAAGTGGATCCCTCAGCCCGGCCGCTGCCCTGCGGGGGCTGGCAGGTAACCCTTCCCACCCTCTCTCTACCCTTCCAGGTGGAGGATGGGGGGAAGGCGTCCCTCTCACAGAAGATGCGCTCCGGCGATGAGCTGGTGAACATCAACGGCACCCCTCTCTACGGCTCTCGGCAGGAAGCCCTCATCCTGATCAAGGGCTCCTACCGCGCACTCAAGATGATCATCCGGAGGTGAGAACTAACTCTCTCTCTCTCTCTCTCTCTCTCTCTCTCTCTCTCTC